AAAAAAAAAAAAAATACTGAATGTATAGAATGTAGAGTCTGAAATCATAGGGTGAATACAGTACTAGTTCAGTAGTTGAGATTTAATTTAATAAGAAGCCAAATTACAAAGAATTTACCTTGTGTAAACAAATATGATTTTTGTGATTCCCAACCGATATGATCTACTTACTCAGGTGACAGTTTTATTGTATACAAAAATTAGGAATGTATGTCAATCTTCATTATTACATTGTTGCATGATGTCTTATGTATATATTGTACCAAATTATTGAAGGAAATAGTATCTGTAAGAAGCACTGAAGAAAGTACGGTGATGTCACTAGGCCACAGTGATAACATTCTGGAATTTTAGTGTGCAAATCTACCAGATTATGAATACTGCAGGGACACACCAGAGGGTTTCTGCTCTTTGAATTCATTATAGTATTTTAAGATTTTGTATTCAGGGTCATGACAATACTGTTTCTTAGGCTTTCATTCATTGTTCTGGATTCACTTAATTTCTGAAAATAGTTTATTTGTCCAAGTGTGAGGTCAGTGTTACATGATGCATGGAATAAACGGATTAAAGCTGACAGATTGCGTGTGTCTATGTCTGCAGATGTCGATGAATGTGAAGCGATCCCAGGCCTGTGCCAAGGTGGCAAATGTGTCAACACAGTGGGTTCTTTCAACTGTGAGTGTCCTGAGGGACAGACACGCAACATAGAAACCAATGAATGTGAGGATCGTGATGAGTGCAAGGAGGCAGGCTTCTGTCAAGATGGACGTTGTGTTAACACTGACGGTTCATACTACTGCGTTTGCAACCAAGGCTTCATTCCTAGCCAAGACAGGAAAGGCTGCATAGGTATTTAGCAAACATGTTTGGTTGAATTATACTGTAATATATTGTAAGTATTCTTTTATTTCCACAAATATGTAGTTGTTATTACTTTTGTTAACATTTTTTCTATTATGCCTCGTATGATGGAAACAACTTACTGTAAACAATCCGTCTGTCCGTGTACAGTTCACATAAGCTATCTGTTTACAGAATTATTCATATTGTGAAAATGTTTGTTATATTTCCATGCATCCGTTTTAAGACATATAGAGCATATACATGACGATGGGGCACAGCTATGTATTTCAGTTTCTGTGTGTACCTCTTCACCTCCCTCAAAGAGTATATAATTTTAACTACATTTATTCATTAATGTGTACTTTGTGTACTTGTTTGGTTTGTGTTTTCTTTAACAATGATGTCAGTAGCTGAGACTATATAGCATCAAGTGGTTGGATGATTAATGAATAAAGAATTTAAAGGATATGGGAGAAGCAGTCATAGCTTAATTTAAAGTACTGTTCTGGAATTTGCCTTGAGGAACTGAGGAAAACCATGAGAAACCTCAGTTAGGATATCTGGATCTCCGGAATATGTTAACTAGAGAGTTAAGTAACCACTTTGCCATGATGTTCATTATGCTATTTGTGTTTTGAGATACAAATTGTAGATAAAACAGTGCTTTTGCATTGTTCTGAACCTGAGAATATAACTGACATTGTGCATTTACTATTTGATGTAATTGAAGAAAGATCCCAGGTTACAAGCCGCCTGACTCGGCTTGTAACCTGGGAATCTTGCATCAACTTCAGTTGCCGCGAAAGCTTCACTTTATACATTTGATGTAATATTTATGAACTTCAAAATTACTGTCTTCTGGGATGTTGCACTGTGTAGGCTGGTAGAAGTTTGTCGACAGTTTAGAACTGTTTACCACCTTCATCATCAGGGTGGTAAACCAGACCACATGGCACAATATCCCTGATGATAGTTATCTTCATACATGCTGCTGTGAGAACCTGAAATCTCACCATGTACATACTTCCTGTATCTAGATGCACGCCAGGGAAACTGCTATACATCTGTGACACAAACTGGACAATGCAGGAACAGACTGCCAATAAAGCTCTCTAAAAAGGACTGCTGCTGTGGAATGAACATGGGCAAAGGGTGGAGTGATAACTGTGACATCTGCCCCACACCCAATACTGGTAAGTAGTTTAAAACCTCCTTAAAGGTTGGACATTAAATTCACTACAGTTAAAGAAACGTATGTGGTTCAGCTGGTTGTGCTTTGCAGCAGCATACCACTGCTAACTACAAGAGTTCAGCTGGCAAGCACATAGTAGTGTGGGTTTAAGTCCCCTATTTCTGTACAATAAAGGTTAAATGTGGTTGCATTGAGGAAACGTCTAGACTCTTGAAAGTCCATGAGGCCTTGGCACTGCACCATGCTTTGAGAACAGAGTTCATACTGATTGACCACGCATGAGTAAAATTGTATACAAAGGCACCGTTTTGAGCTGGTGGCATTATAACAGAAGCTGTAGAGAGTCAGAGCTTTTTATGAAATTAAATTTTTAGGCACATTAATTTATGAATGTGAAAAAATAAATTGAGTGGTATAATGGACTATCTTTCTGATGAAAGACTCTCAGGTTACAAGCCGCGTAAAATGGCTGAATGGCGAATAAACTATATCTTCTGCCGACGTTTCGAGAACAATCTCTGCTCTCATCCTCAGGGCTGCTGCATAACAAATCTGGTCCTTTGTAGCGCACTCGCCGATGGGGATGTTTTTAAATGATACAATGAGAAGTGTTCAGATTCTCTGTTGTGCAGATTATATTTCTTTCCAGTTGGAATTATCTGGATGCATTATACTTATAAGATTGTTTGTCTTTATAGAGGCTTATAAGAGGTTGTGCCATCCGAGCCCTGGTGACATCACGCAGGTGAACGAGTGTGCTCTGCGAGCCAACATTTGTGGCAATGGACGTTGCATTGATACTCCTGATGGATACCGGTGTGACTGCTACCCAGGATACCGAAAGGGCGAGTCTGAAGTGTGTGAAGGCCAGTCATCGTTTCACATTGTATTTGTATTACTTGAAAATGTTATTTTGTTTACTCTGTCACACATATATAATAAATTAACTTTGGCTATGTACGTAAGATTTCTTTATTTTTAATTTATTTGTATTAGATACCTTAAGATATACTTTGCCCTTGCAGATATTGATGAATGCTCTGAACTAAACTATTGTCAAGGAGGGCAGTGTACAAATACTCCTGGAAGTTTCAGCTGTGTCTGCCCACCAGGATTTGATGTGTCTTCTGATGGAAAATACTGTACAGGTTGGTTCTGGTTATATCATATTGTTTTGTTTGTGTTTTAATTTAAAGTAAAGTTGTTCTATTCTGCTCAAGTATAAAGTGTGAAAATATTATAAAAATTTAATCAGAATTGAAGAGAATGACAACTAAAAGCAGTGGATTTTCCATGTCAATACATTTTTTGTAAGACTTGAGGTTTTCACAGCGGTGAGTATGAAGATTTCCGTCTTCTGGGTTGTTGTGCTGTGTAGTCTGGCCGATGTTAACCAACGTTATATGACCAAAGTCATACTGCCTCCATCATCAGGGCCCTGATGACGGAGGCAGTATGACCAGACTACACAGCGCAGCAACCCAGAAGATGGAAATCTGAATACATTTTCGTCACATGAGGAAGATTACATTTCAAAATAGCACACAATTCTATGTGATATTGGTTATGTTGTATTTTTTAAAGCGTTTTACTCTTTAGTATGAAAATTCCTGATTTAAACAGTTGAAAGCATGTATTGTTTCTTCAGTTAGGGAGAAAAAAAATTAAACCATCTTCTCTGATCTCTTGCATGAACCTAATATTAAACTGGTGTGGTGCTACAGTTTTATACCATATTATTTAAATACAAGTAATTGTACTTGTGAAGTTTCCTATTTTGAATGTTTCCGAGCTTGACAACATTCTGTAGCTGTAGTGATATGTGATACCAACGGTTTTGATTGTCGTGTTTCAGACCACGATGAATGTAGTCAGACTGGAATGTGTGTATAAATATGGATGGTTCCTTCAAATGTCACTGTCACAGTGGATTTATTCTCTCACCATCTGGACATGCATGTGT